ACGTAACGTCATATTGTAGGTGATGGGAAGTCCTATTTTCTTTTAAATCTCAAAGACTAATACTTTATCAAATCATTGATTTTATCCCTGATAAAAAGCTATAACTGGATGATCATGTTCAAGTTACATTATATGGACTACAAAAGAAGCAAGAGGGAGGAGCCCTCATTCTATAAAAATGATTTCTTTGTCACTATGAAAATACTAAATCTCATTAAATAAAATTTCTCGCCACATTATTAGTGAATAAATTTGCAAAACAAGGACTGGAGAGAAGGCTCAGAGATTAGGAGTATTTGCTGCCCTTCCAGAGAACCAAAGTTCACTTCCCAGTACCCACTTTGTGGCTCAGAACCATCTGTAACTCCAGTTCCAGTAGATCTGACACCCTCCTCTGGCCTCCAAAGGCACCAGGCTTATATGTGGTACACAGACATATATACAAGCAAAACACCCATACACATAAAAAATTAAAAATACATTTTTAAATTAAAAATATTCAAAGCAGTATGTATGAATATTATCTGAATACTGCAGTACTATATGTTACCAACACCATTATGAATGTACAGGACACTTTAAAAACTGTTCAACTGTCAATGAGCAAACATTTAGTGGCAGTGAATACAGTGTGGCCTGCGACTACCTAGTGACACTGAGTACTGAATACAGTCACTGGAGGCCAGCTTTGTCCTTTCCAGGATGACCATTCCTAGGATGAGAAGCCAAATAGAACTCAGGCAGGAATTTGGTCTCTCAGATCCCAACACAGTGGCTGTGTCTTTCCTTAATATTATTGCTCAAGGGATGTGGAACAGATTTCCATCAAGCAATAGTGTTTATAAACACACACAGTTCCCAAGCTGCTGGGGAGCCTGCAGCAGGCCATTGTGTGGAAGGCTCGGGTGCTCACATTTTCCACCAGCTTCATTGAGGTCCATGGAGACAACCTGACTGCTAGCAGGTCAGAGCTGTTTGCAGTGTGGGTGGAGCACAGAACTGCACTCTGAAATGTGTCAACGGAAGGATCAATCATTTGTAGCTCTGCTAGTGATGCTGATTTCTTCAGGGTAAAAACTCAAAAAGCTTGTTCACAGATCTAAAAACACCAAACTGTGGAAAACACCTAACTCTCAGGGTGCAAAGGAAAGCTTGTTAAAGCTGAGATTGACATCAGACGTCAACCCTTTAGACGTACAAATCCTTTCTGCAGTTTCATACAGACGATGCTTACTGTGGAAGTGATGATGTTTTTCCACCATCAAACACATCACTGGAATGAAGGTTGCTTGTCTATCACACCGGTCTAGCAGCCCTAGTGTGACAATGGGGTGATCACTAACTCTGGCTTCATTGGCAGTGCCAAGGCAGTCTCAGGTACACAGTCTTGGATCTTTCAGCTTGCTTTGTAGGTATTTTGGAACTCCTTGGGTTCTTTGCTTACCATTTTCTTTGAACAGTTTGTAAAGGATTACCTTTTAGTGCCAGGAATTTCAAAGGGAGGTTTCCCAATGGACTGGACAGACTATTAGTGTCGTTGTTGCTTAGGTCAAGCTTTCCCAAAGATGATAGTGGGGCTGTTTCCTCTGGGAGAGTTTAACTTGTCCCTCAGGTCTGGTACAAGGATCACATCCAAGGCTTAAGACATTGCTCCTAATGCAGTGGTTCTCAACCTGTAGGTCATGATCCCTTTGGGGGGGGGGTCACATTTCAAATATCCTGTATATTAGATATTTACATTATGATTCATAACAGTAGCAAAATTACAGTTTTGAAGTAGCAATAGAAATAATTTTATGGTTGGAGGGTGTCTTAGAGATTTTATTGCTGTGAAGAGACCCCATGACCACAACAACTCTTTTTTTTCTTTGTTTTGTTTTGTTTTTCGAGACAGCGTTTCTCTGTGTTGTTTTGGTGCCTGTCCTGGATCTTGCTCTGTAGACCAGGCTGACCTCAAACTCACAGAGATCCGCCTGGCTCTGCCTCCTGAGTGCTAGGATTAAAGGTGTGCATCACTCACTGCCGCCCAGCTGACCACAGCAACTCTTATAAAGGAAAACATTTAATTGGGTGGCTTACAGTTTCAGAGGTTCAGTCCATTATCATCATGGTGGGACACAATGCCACACAGGCACACATGGTGCTAGAGAAGTTGCTGAGAGTGGAGAAGGAACTACATCTTGATCCCTCAGGCAACAGGAAGTGAGCTGTCTCACTGGGCAAAGCTTGAGTATATATGGGACCTCAAAGCCCGCCTCCACAGTGACACACTTCCTCCAAAATGACCACACCTACTCCAACAAAGTCACACCTCCTAAATGTGCTACTCCCTCTGGGGGCCATTTTCTTTCAAACCATCAAAGGGAGGGGGTCACCACAACATGAGGAACTAAGTTAATGCATCACAGCATTAGGGAAATTGAGAACCATGGCCCTGATGTTTCAGTTTATTCTTCATCTATGTGTAATTATTTCAATAGACTACATGAATGAAATTCTGGTAGAACACTCCATTTATTTCTTTATTTCTTTGCAAATAAAGTAATTCTAGTGATTCCACACTGGCCAATTCAGGAGGCACAGGCTCTAAGAGATTTGAACTACAACCCAAATGATTTAATCTTTTTATTTTGCTTATTTCTTTGGGCAGATGCTTTAGTTGTCTGTTATACAGAGGGGATTGCAGCAGAATGGATACAGAAATAAAGTAGCAGGCAGAGTTTTCAGATGATTGTTTGAAAGACTTAAATCTTCTAAACTAGAAAGGTTCAAATCCCTCTAGTACACAAGTTGGTTTGTTTTGCTAGATATACAGCACCTTCAGATTTCTTATGTTTCTAATTTCTTTATGGCACATTTTCAGTTTGTTATGGCTGACATTACATTTCTGAAGGTTTTCTAGCTCTTTCGTAGCAGAAGGAAGGAAGGAATGAATGTCAGCTGATCATCATGCACATCAGTAACAGCTAGAGCGGGCAAGAACCAGAAGCCATCTGAGAGTGACTGAAGTTGATTGCTTTCGATGACAAGCATGGGCAGATCTGTCTGCTCCCACTGTCATTCAGGAGATCATTCCCAAGGTTCCTTCATGCCAGACTGAGCTGGCTGCTACGTTAACGCAGTCTGTACAATTTCATGGGTTGGGCTCAGGACTGAACGAGAAGGGGAGAGATTGCTGAGTGTGGGATGCATGCACTTTTACCACACTCTCTGCTTCCTTACTGTGAATGCTATGTGACTAGATTCTTCAAACTCCTGCCACAGTGATTTCTCCTGGAATGATAGACTGTAACCCTGAACTGTGAACCAAAACAAACCCTTTTCCCCATGTATTAGTTACTTTTCTGTTGCTGTGATAAAATAAAATGTGTTCAAACACATAAACCTATTGGGGATGTTTCACAACACCCTCTTAAATAGCTTTTGTCAAAGTATTTTATTAAAGCAATAGACAAGAAACTGAGACAAATGCCTATTAATAAATGTGAACACATGACACTATATGGGAACAATGATTTTTAACTTGTAATAATTGTTGCATAAATCCTAATTTGTTTTAATAAAAACCTGGAACCAGATATCAGGGTGAAAGCTGGAAGATCAGAGAAGCAGAGCAAGCCACAGCCACCATCTCTTACCTCACCAACTCCCCAGCCTGAAAGAGAGAGAGAATCCCTATTTCCTCCCGTCTTATATTCCTTTCTCCACCCAGCCATATCACTTCCTGTCTCAACCTTCCTAGTGGTGAAATTAAAGGCATGTGCCACCATTGCCTGGCTCTGTTTCTCTTTTAGACTGGATTAATCTCATGTAACCCAGTGTGGTCTTGAACTCACAGAAATCCTGACAGATCTCTGCCTCTGCCTCCCAAGTGCTAGGATGTGTACTACCATTGCCTGACCTCTATGGCTAACTCTATGGCTGACTCTGTCCTCTAATCTTCAGGCAAGCTTTATTTCTTAGCTTACAAACAATATCACCACAAACAATAGGTCAGTGGAGGCTTGGTTATATGGACATGTGGGGAACATATTCTTATGGTCTCTATTAACTATGGTCATGGCATTATGTAAAGCTCCTCCATTTTGGTTAAACAATAACAAGTGCTGAAACTAATTTCCTGTCCAGAACTACAGTGACTAGCTTTTTTTTTTTTTTTAAAGATTCTTGCCTTCTCTGTCCTATCCATGCTCAGAAATGATTTATCTGTCATCTGACATTGTTTCATCCACCACTCATTTTGTTTTCCTAGCTACCACTAGTAACAGCCCACTTTCAGTCCCCTTTCTCTTTTCTTCTTTATAACTACCTCAGACTGGTGGTGCAAGTCGTTAATCTTAGCATTCCAAAGGCAGAAGCAGGCAGATCCCAGGTCTGGTCTCCAAAATAAGTTCCAGACCAGACAGCCACTGCTACATAGTGACACTCTGTCTCAGAAAGAGGAGGGGGGAACTAGACAGAGAGGGAGAGAAGAGGAGGGTGCCCGAAACTAAGCGATTATAACTAATTATAGCCAGTTGGTTAAAACATAGTACAATTGCTGTAAGAAGAACTTGGCAGGCAACAATTAAACTGTACGTTAGATGATTTTATGAATTTTCTGTTTGATCATGCACTGCAGTTATGTAGGAAAACGTTCTGAGGACGTGCATACTAACGTTTGGGAAGAAGTGTCAAGATATAAAGACATTTAGAGTAATTAAAATTGGCAAAATGCTAATGAGCTGGAGGAATGCTACACAGACACTTTTTTGTTATTCTTTAAGCGTTCCTGTCGATATAAACCATTTTTCCTAAATATGCTGACGAGGCGTGGGGAATGATGTTCTGGGAAGACAGGATCCAAGTACAAACCAGCTGTGGGCAAACGAAGTCTGGTCCGGAAGAGCCCGGAAGCCACCTGTCAAAACTACCGCTCCCACCCTGCCCGGGGCTCTTTCCTATAGGTTGGCGCCATCCCTCGGCCCCGCCCACAGCTCCCAAAAGCCCGCGCGCGCGCGGCCAGCCGTTCGGCTGCTTCCGGCGTAAGGCGAACAGCGATCATGGAGGCTGAGCCTCCTCCTTTGGAGGAACGGCGGCGGCTGCAGGAGGAGTTGAGCGAGTTCGTAGAGAGCTGCTGCCGGACTCTGGAGGAGGTGACGGCGTCTCTGGGATGGAGCCTGGATCAGCTGGACCCTGGGGACGAGGCGGCGGCCGAGGTGAGGGACGAGGTGGCCCGGCCTTTCCGGGGCTGTGGGCTTCTCGTGGAGGGGAAGGCGCGCGTTGGGTCCAGGTCTCTCCGAGCGCTCCACCCCGGTGCCGAGCAGAGGAGGGCATGGCTCGTCGGGTGCTTGTCCCGGGGGTGCTGCTGGTGGGTTTGACGATTTGCTTTGTCATCTGTCATAAGGATTCCGCGTTGCGTTAAGAGTCAGTTTCAGGAAAGCTTGGGTGTCGAGTTCTGTTTTCTCTGCCTTAAACCCGGACGCCTTCCACTCGGACAGTACCGGTTCTGGGACGATTAAAGGGACGACACCAAAGAATGGTAGCCAGGAACTGACTCTTAAGAAGTGTGTTTGAGTTGAATTATCTTGACTTTTGTGTTGATGGACTCAGGGTGAAGGGGAATTTGCATTGCGCGGTTGATTTCTTATATCCCCTGCGCTTACTATGCTGAAATAACAAGGTTTAAGTCGTACGCCAATGGAAATATTTAAGATATGTTTGATTTACATATAAGCTAATCACCATTAAATTGAAGTGGAAATAATAAGAAAAATACTCTCCTTTGTTTTTTCACAAGTATATTTGGAGTTGTGAATTAACCTATTACAGCTCATGAATTAAAACCTAGTAACAGAGCCAGGCGATGGTGGCGCACGCCATTAATTCTAGCACTTGGGAGGAAGAGACAGGTGGATCTCAGTCAGTTCGGGGCCAGCCTGGTCTACAAAGCCAGTTCCAGGACAGCCAGGACTGTTACATAGAGAAACCCTGTCTTGAAAAACCAAAAAAAAAAAAAAATGAAAACAAAACAAAAAACCCTAGTAACGGTTCTGTAAAGCAGATTTGGGGGAGAGCTGAAAAATTTTGAGCTATGCATTAGATAACTTATGAAATTTCCAGGCCATTGAGCAGGACCCACCACACCCTTCTGTGTCATTGGTTACTCAGCTTCAGGGTATTAACATTCACTTAACACTTTGTATATGGCACTACATTACTTCATTTAAAATTTAACCCTTGGAGGTGAGAATGATTGGCAGCAATCTGCAGATGAGGAAACAGAAACATCAAAGTTTTTACTTTGATAAACTGATCCTAAATGGCAGCTGGGGTTTGAATGCATACCTCTGGTTTCTGAGAGTTTGTGTGCTTAATTGCTTTGTAATCTCCATTGTAAAATCCCCCATGACAGTAAGCTGTGGAGTACACGATTATCTGATACTCAGAAGAGTAACTGGCTTTAAAAAATCCTGGGAAATGACATTGATAATTCCTAGGCTAGGTGCAATCCAGATACTTAATGACTCTCCGTGTTTCTGTGACACAGCATAGTGGAGAGCAGTGACATGGTGGAGAACTTATGGTGGCAGTGAGGGGGTACAGAGAAATGACAGCTGGTGTGTTATTGTGTAGCAAAGTCTGTGATGGATGGAATTAAATTTTTTTTTGTAATATTAGTTATTATGGGCTATGGTGGGTCAGTAAAAGCTTCTGGGAAAATGTTTCTCAAAATCTGTGTGGGTGTTTATGGGGGTATGGCCTGGGTTATGGATCATTGACTTACCTTGTTCAGACTCTATTGTTGTCTTGATATCGCATACACCATTCTAGCTGGTTCATGAGAGCTTTTGGGCATTTTCCAGTCCATCTCCTATCTCATAGTGGGAGCACAGATATTGCAGATACATACTAACCATGCCTTTTACATGGGTTCTGAGGATTTGAACTCAGGTCCTTATGCTTACTGAGTCATCTCCCTAGCCCTGACCCCGCCCCTCCTCCCCAAATTCAAAGCTGAAAAATAAATGAGTAGAATTGGCTAGGTGACTCCCAGAGAAAGCACTCTTAGAATTCCAGGCTGAAATGATAAGATTAGAGGGCTTCAAGTGCTTACGGATGGCTAGAACATTGAGAGGAGAGCTGGTGGCCAGGCAGGGTGGCGCACACCTTCAATCCCAGCACCTGGGAGGCAGAGGCAGGTGGATCTGTGTAAATCTGAGCAAGCCTGGCCTACACAGTGAGTTTTAGACCAACCAGGACTCCATGATATAAAGGGGGAGTGGAGTGATAATAGGTAGGTGGTTAGAACCTAAAGGTCCTTGTCAGCCATATTAGAGAATCTTGGTTTTGTTGTTGTTGTTGTCTTTTAAAATGAGGGTCAACAGGGGAGGAAGCATAGACACATTTTAAGTCAGGGCATATCCAAATCACATTTGTGTTTTAATAAAATACCTACCTAATAAAATACCTAAAAAAATATTTAGTACTTACTATGTACCAGGCCCTACTCAAATGTTTTCTGTGTATAAACTCACATATTTATATTTATTTAATCTCCATGATATCTTTGTGAGATGAGGGTCTATTGCTTCCATTTTACAGATGAAGAAACTAAGTCAAGGAAAGGTTGATTATGTTGCCCAATATGTTATAGCCAGTAAAGAGCAGCACTGGGGTTTCAAAAATAGCTGCATTGTGGAGAATGGAGTAGAGAGCAGCCATCCTGGAAGCAGAGAGAGAGAGAGAGAGCAGTTAGATAGCTGTTGTAATCCAGAGAAGTAACATGACACTTGAATTGGAAAGGTGGCACTGGGGATGGGGAGAATGAAGATTTCAGACACTTAAGAGTGAAAATGTCAGGACTGGGCGATGGCTTGGATGTGGTGATTAGGGAGGAGGCAGTGTCTTGCTTGAGCAGGTGGCGCCTTTCACTGAAATGGGAAGAAGGCAGGTTTGGGTGCTACAAGACTTACTTACTTTTGTGTTGCTGTGATAAAATACTCAACAATAACAAGGTAAGAAAAGAAAGTGTGGGGCTGGAGAGATGGCTCAGTGGTTAAGAGCATTGGCACTCTTCTAGAGGACCCTGATTCAAGTCCCAGCACCTATATGGCAGCTCACAACTATCTTTAACTACAGTTCTAGTAGATCTGACACCCTCACACAGATACACATGCAGGCAAAACACCAATGCACATAAAATAAAAATAAAGCACTTAAAAAAGAAAGAATGGTATAGTGATTAGTTTTGACACAATGCAGAATCACCTGGGATAGGAGTCTCAATAAGGAATTGTCTAAATTAGGTTGGCCTGTGGGCATCCTAGGGAGGGATTTATTAATTGAATTAATTAAGGTGGAGAAATTCACCCTGAAGGTGGGCAGCACCAAATTATGAACTGAGTCCTGTACTAAATTAAAGGAAAAAATAACCCAAACACTAGCAGGTCATACATTCTTTGTCTCATCCCGTAATTGTAGGTGTGAGTAGCTACTTCACATTTGCTCCACTTTGACTTCTCTGCAGGATGGACTGTAACCTGGAACTGTGAGCCAAATAAACTCCTACGTTGTTTTTGCAGGATGTTTTCTCACAGCAACAAACACAAAACTAAGAAGGCTTACAGTTTAAGGTAAAGTCTGTGATAATAGGAAAGTCAAAGCTACAGGAGCTTGAAGCAGTTGCATCTGCAACCAAGAAGAGCATGAACCTTTGCTCAGCTCATTTTCTTTTTTTTATACAGTTTAGGAGTAGTTCCACAGTCTTTTCAACCTCGATTAACCTAAGATAGAGATATTAACCTGCTTCTCCATAGATAGAGGCCCAGAGGCCCTCAGTGATTCTAGATTTTATCAGTTTGACAATTAAGATCAACCATCACACAAACCACAAATATATTGAATTTATTTTTATTCATGTTGGACTTTTAGTACAAGGTACTTAATAATTATAAAAAAATTAAGGAAAATTATTATGTGTATATGATGTGGGGTGGGTCAGGACAGTTTTGTGGATTTAGTTTCTCTCTTCCCAACTTTGTGTGAATTCCAGGGATTGAGCTCAGGTCATCAGCCTTGTTTGGTGAGTGCGTCACCCTCTGAACCACCTTGCTCCTAGTATAAGGTACCTAAGAGAGAAACATGGTCTGATGAGATAGATTTGGGAAACTTTAAAAGTATAGTGAGAATTGAAGCCAGATTATTGCTAGGAAGCATGTTATCGAATAACAAGAGGTTAATGATTAGAATTACACGAAACACCAGCATTTAAAAGGGGCGACTGCAGGAAACCAAATAAAAACCAGAGGGGTAGAAATAAACATTTGTTAAGAGCTAGCTGTGGTGTTGAATGGTTGCAATCCCAGCACTCTGAGGCCGAGCAAGAAGGTTGCCATAAGTTCAAAGCCAGCCTGGGCTACATAGCAGGAGCCTGTTTCAAAGAACAAAACAAAACAAAACAAAGGCTGGGGAGGTGGCTCAGTTGATAATGTGCTTGCTAAGGAAGCATGAGACTCCACAGAATCAATAACCTCAGTACTGGAGATGTAGGTGCTTGCTGGCACTATCCAGTCTTGCCAAATAGGTGAGCTTCGGATTTAGTAAGAGACCTTGTCTCAAAAAATAAGATAGAGAGTGACTGACAGAGACACCAGATGTTGATCTCTGATCTCCACATGCACACTACTTACACATGTGCCTCTATGTACATGTGTACATATGAACAACACAAGAGAGAGCAAAGTGTACCAGGAGTACCAGGAGCTCAAATACAACAACTATGATGTGTGCCTTGGCTTCAATAGCAGGAAGATGGCTAGTGGCAGGTGTCAGTGAGGTAGTGATGGCAGAGATGAGGAATGGCTATTCGAGATGCTGTGGAGAGAGTGAAATTAATCATTGAGAAAGTTAAGCTCAGCTGGGTGGTGGTGGCGGCGGCGCACACTTTTAATCCCAGCACTCTGGAGGCAGAGGCAGGTGGATTCAAGGCCCGCCTGGTCTACAGAGTGAATTCCAGGACAGCCAGGACTGTTACACAGAGAAACCTTGTCTTGAAAAACAAACAGAAAGCGGGGGGGGGGAAAGGAAGAAAGTTAAGCTCTGAAGGGCTGGAGAGAGGACTGAGGCTTTAGAATGATGCATTGAGAGAATTTCCTTTTTTATTTTTTTAATACAAACACCCACATTGAAGGGAGATCTGCAGAAAGGAAGAACTAGATTGATTTTAAAATACTGTTCTCCTTCTGTTTGATTTTTTTTCAGGATGAAATCACGATATGTCCTTACGATTCCAATCATCACATGCCTAAATCATCACTAGCAAAGCACATGGAGTCTTGCAGATTGAGGAAGCTGGGCTATGCCAAAGAGGAAGAGGTAACATTTGTTTGTTACATCATATCGTGACATTCATTCGTTAGTAAGTCGGGAGAGTGTATTATGAGCTCTGGTAGAAAAGGTAGTACTTTGCCCGACTTCACAAAGTGTTAGATATTTAAATAGTGGTATTATTTATATCAAATCTTGACACAGCCAGTTGTGCAGTCCTTAAGAATACTAGCTAAATGGGTGGTGGTGGCGCACACCTTTAATCCCAGCACTCTGGAGGCAGAGGCAGGTGAATCTCTGAGTTTGAGGCCAGCCTGGTCTATAGAGTTCCAGAACAGCCAGGACTACACAGAGAAACTCTGAGTCGTTAAACCAAAAAAAAACTAGCTAAAGTTTCTGTTTTTGTTTTTTTACTGTATAGGATGAAATGTACAATCCTGCTTTTTTCTATGAGAATTTGAAGATTCCTTCAGTTACTTTGAGTAAGTATATTAGATTATGATTGAAAAGTAGTTGTGGGAGCCCACAAAGGTTTCCTAGTAAGATCTGAGCTTGCTTTACACCACAGGGCTGCATTAGGGGGATGGCTTGACCCATGTGCAAGGTCACCAGATGTTTGTGATGGTCTACACTTGGCTGTGCTGGGGGAGGTCTTTTGCTCCATCCCTTAGCATTCCTTTAAAAAGCCCTTTAGTAGAGACAGAAGAAGCTTGTGGGTTTGGACCCAGGCCCTCCCCAGGCTGTCCTGTTTTCTAATGGTCTCTCTCTCTCTCTCTCTCTCTCTCTCTATCTCTCTATCTCTATCTCTATCTCTATCTACCTATCTATCTATCTATCTATATATATACTTCTATCTACAAATTCCTCATTTCTTCCTGCTTAAGAGTACCCTGGGGGAATAAGAGGGAGCTGGTGTCTCTCAAGTAGTCTAGTTTTTGTATTAATTTTTTTTTAGCAAAAGAATGGATATTATAGACATGTTTTTGATTAATGATAATAGGCGTAATTAATACACAATGAAGATAGTTCATATAATGTAAAAATAAGACTGGGCTTATGTTAACAGGGAGTGAAAAATTCTGCAAAATCTTGCATAGTAGACCAGATATGATGGTACACATCTTCAGTCCCAGCACTCGGGAAGAAGAGGCAGGCTGATCTCTGTGAGTTCGAAGCCATTCTGGTCTATAGATTGAGTTCCAGGACAGCCAGAACTGTTACACAGAGAAACCCTGTCTTGAAAAACCAAAACCAAACAAACAAAAAATTATATAGTAGGGCACATACCTCCCTTCTTGGTTGTAACAAAAATATGACCATACAACATTGACTGAAGATGTGAGGGAGGGTGGAATCATGATCCACACAATGTTGACTGAATGTAAAGGGAAGATGGAAATGAAATATGTATTCATTATTTGCAGTATTCAGCTAAAGTCCTGATTGACACAGAATGTCCTGTCAACTCATATGTATGTAACTTTTGGTGAGATGTTGCCCTGTTTATTGCCTAAGTTTCAGTATTTTTTGTGGTACTGGAGACTGAACCTAGAGTGTCTTATTTGCCAGGGAAGCACACTATCCCCACACCTTAAAGATTATGATAAATCTAATGCACTTCAAATGATGTCTGGCTCTAAAAGATATTAGTTATTAGTTGCTTGAATTTGTACCTGCTGATCATGAATGCCTGATAATGTTTTTTTAACTCATTGGCATCTGATCACTTCTTGGGCTGTAGCTAGCTCAGAAAGAATTCTTACTGAGGTTACATGTCATGATTCGGATTTCTCTTTTTCAGATAAGGATTCACAGTTCCAGATAATTAAACAAGCCAGAACTGCAGCTGGGAAAGATGGTGATTGTTACAGTCAAAGTAAGTGTTGTTGTACGTTCAGCTGATTGGTGAATCAAGGTATTTTTTTCTCATGTAAGCATGGTTCTACTTCTTAAGAAAACCTTTGTGAAATGGCTGCATTGGAAAAGGATCAGTGTTACATTTAACAGTGGAATAGCTTACATTGTTTCAACTTGATTATTAGCTATTTCCTATTCAGATACACTGGAGGCTCCCTCAAATACCATCTCAGCCAGGGGTGCTGTTTTGGCATTATCTGATAGGTGTGGTTGCCTTGTGGGTAAGTTTTTTAAAAACAGATTATTTAGTAAGTATACTGGATAAGAGTGTCTTCTTTTGTTCTGTTGGGGTGCAAGTACCTGACCCTGAGAGCTTTCTGAGAATATTGAAATATACATATCGCTAACCATGTAATTTCCATTGCTGCTCTCAGACTGTTCCCTCCCTCCTAAGTTTGTGTTTGTAACCTCTGAGATGTGGTATGCCCCAGAAAAAGCACAAGTACTATGTGCACCTGTAGTCTTAGAGGCTTTGTGGGTTCTCATGCCCAGCTTGGGAGCTGCTTGAAATGTTTCTGCCTCGGAATTGGACAGAAACTAGAGTTAAAAAAAATTAACTACAAGCTAAAGGAACAGCTTCGTCCAACCAGAAGGAGGGAAGTTAATAAAGAATTTAGATTTTTGAATCTGGATGTGACATTTAGTCAGAGCACAGCTGTCTCCTCTTACCAAGGTTGTCTTTCTGTGGGAGGCGGACCACTCCTTCCTCTCCTCACCTCCCCGCTCCCTGCCTGCCCCTGGTCATCATGCAGGTTTTCTCCCTTGTCAAAATTCAGTCTTTCTAAAACTCTTCTAAGAAGCCGTTGTGCCGAGATCTGGACTTGATTTCTCCTGAGTTGCACTGTGGCTTTAGAAGGAAAATCATTTTGTCCTTGGCCTGTGTATCTTGTGTTAGTTACTTCCAGTAGCTGGAAACACATTTTCATTTGTGTGTGTGTGTGGGGGGGGGGGGTGGTGGCACATGTGTCATAATATTATGTAGAGGTCCAAGGACAACTTTAGGAAGTCAATTCTCTCCTTCCACAGTGTAGCTTCTGAGGGTTGAACTCATGTGGTCATGCTTGGTGGCAAGCATCTTTACCCACTGAGCCACCTTGCCAGCCTAAACACATTTCTTGTATTTCTTTTCAAAGCTTCTACTTTGGTGTCTGTAGGCTTCAGCTCAGCTTTCAAATTTACAGATTACTTATCTGTGATCACTTAAGTCTTTTATAATCTCTGTTGTTTCTGTTTGTTGGCCCTGTTAGTTAATAGACCAGTAGAATTAATTTAAATTTTTTTTTGAGAGTCTTGCCTTTTAAGACTATGACTCTTAGCTGGTTTAGATAGATTAATGAATTTGTTTCGGAGTTGAAAGAGTACTTGGATCGTGTAATCCAGTGTCTGTATTTTACAGATAGGAACCAAACTGGCCAATAGGGCCAGTTTGAGAAAGTCCTTGGGTGTTTTGTTCTTTAGTAAGATTCTCCCTTCTGCACTTACTCCCTGTGTTTCTGTGAGACATGGTCTCTGGCCGAGGCCCCTCATTCTGACCATGCTCTTACCTCAGCCCCCCTTCTGAATGCTGGAGTTCCAGGTGTGTGCCACACATCCAACTAATCCTTTTATTTAAAACTCCTTTATCCCAGAGCTCTTTTGCATGTTTCATTTCTTTTTCCCAGAAAACTTGTGCTATGTTGGAGAAGTGTTTTAGTAGGTGAAGAAACACACCGGGAAGAAACTCACCTTGGCTGGGTAGCAGCAAGGCTGCCTCCAGAATGGAGTTCTGACTTCTGTCACAGGCTCTCAGCTGAGCGGGTTAGAATTGATCTGCCTGTAGTGAAAGTCGTGGACTGGGCTCTTTTTGATGTTCATATGTATTACATCATTGTGAGAACATCAGACTGCACACACATGCGCATGTTAATGCTGCTCATCATTCATTTATTGTTTGTTAGTCTAAAGAAGTAACTTGAGAGCTTTTGTTCTTCTGTGTAGTGGAACAGTTGTCTTGAGAATAGACATGGCAAGTGCTACAGTAATTGGCAGGCATACTGTCTAAGAAAAAAGTAATGTGCAGAGAGTGTTAGTTTTACGTAAGTAAATGATTTAGTAAAGGTCACAGTTTATGGATTTATAGAACTAGACAGTAAAATTTAACATTGAGCTCAGTTCATCACAGAAACAGAATTATTTTGGGTTTTTTATTTTATTTATTTATTTTTTTTTGTGGTGCCAGGGATTGAATTTGGGGTCACGATCTGGGCACAACAATTTTGGGTTTTTTATTTTGTTTTTTTGTAGTGCCGGGGATTGAATTTAGGGCATCTAAGAATTACTTTGAACTTAGAGTAGAGAAACTTATTTGACTTTGAATTCTATCTTAAGGTTGATTGCTTTGAATAGCTTTGTGATCTGTAATCCTCTTTTAAAAATGTGTTAAATCCTATGAAGGGTTCTGTATTTTTTTTTTTTTTATCAGAATTGTCTTTGTGGTCCACTTATGTCTTAGATATTTTCGCATCTTTGACATGAGGACAAGAATCTCTTTAACTACCTTCTTACTGATTTGTTTATGTGAACATGAAGCAATATGCATTTCCTCATCTTATTAATAGTGTAAGATGCACCAGAAGGGAAATCTTTTGGCAGCAAATGTGTGTTTTCATTGTGTCTGCTGCATCAGTCAGACCTAAGCTCTGCTGGCCTCCATGTGATGTGAAAAGCCTAGACCTAGGTGTTTACGTTCTTGTGCACCTATTTTGACTGGTTTTATAACAAAGATTAATTTTGATCATAAATTGTAATTTTATATTTAGTGGTTTATCTTTTTTTCTCCAATATTAAGCATTCACGTTGCTCTAAGTTTCATGGCACATATTTGAACATGGCCATGATTTGCTATCAGTGTCTTATAGAAGAACCTTGGAGGGCCATTTGGGCAAGTTAGTTTTCTCCCATGGGCCTTGTTTTTTTTAATCTAATGCAAGGGATTGTCTCTGTGTGGGTGCTCTGCGCAGTTGTGAGTGCCACACTGAGACCATTCCTTTTACTAAAATAAATGTGCCGTGGGTAAGTTTTCCCATGATGGCGAGTGACAGCCAGGAGGACTGTGCATTCAGGTAAACTTGAATGAGAGTTCTGGAGATGAGAAGAGGTGGTGAGTGCAGAAAGTGAAGTCTGGTCCAGTGTTCTGAACCGTGTAAGTCAAACTGATCAGAAGGATGGATTGTGTTTCATGTATTTTACCACAGTTTAAAAAGTTCAAAAAGAGGACACAGACTTACAGAAAGTACAGCACATAAATGAGATGGAAACTTAGTTTGAAAATTTACACTCCTGTAAATGAAGCTTGCTTAAGTGTGTTTATTTTTTTTAAATCAAAAATATCTGTTATGAGAGATTTGAAATGTAGTTTGTTGCTTAACCTTTTCTGTACTTTTTCTTTTTCAGTAATTGGGGTGAGTATAAAGAGGAATTAGGAACCTGAATGTACTCCTTATTTAAAGATATGCAGTATCCTTTTTGCAAATGATATCCTTTTAAAAGTATCACTGAACTTCTGACTTTATCTCAATAACTGTCACTCTTAGAAGTCTTGGTTTGGAATTCTGATTGAATTTTAATAAGTTTAAGTATTAGTTTCTATCATAAAGACATTTAAGATTAATTAATAAAAGAACTTTGAGCTTGATTATTATACTGTTTTCTAAATTTTGTATTTTTCCTCTCAGATTTTTATAGCTGATATTCAAAGGAATTAGGCTTGTCAAAGCCAGTTTTATGTTGTATGTTATGTTTAACACCCGGCTACATAAAGTCTTTGATAGTTCCGCAGCATCAGAGGGAGTCCTCCTTTCCCACTCATTTCCAACCCCTTGTAACAATGTCCAGGTGTGATTGTCTGCATCTGTTAAACCACAGTGCCACTGTGCCCTCCTTAGCTTGTGGAGAAGTGTGAAGTCGTTTCTTTTTTTGTCTTTCTTTTTTTAATATGCTTAGTTTTTAGTATGCTCTTATTTGAATTCTTCTTTTGCCTCTTAGCCGAGATGTTAATTGCGTCTGGGGAGAGCCACTGTTAACTCCTTTAGGATGACCTTGCAGACATTAGCATTCCTTTAGTAGTGATGTTCTCTTTGCAGTAGGAAGACTTGTTTGAAACTGCTTTGTTTACACTTACAATCATTTTATTTCTTTGAGACCATTTGAATCTCAAAACAAATTTTTTCTTCGATGTTTTAATACATCACATCAAGGTATTGTATTTATTTATTGTTCGTTTGTGAGCAGATTTTAGAATGATCATAACTATTAGGTGCACTGCTGTTGTTACCTTTTCTATTTGATTTAGTTAAGCCAGCATACTTCCTCTTTCGTAAAGTAAAACTAGTGTAAAGTCTTCTCCTGGTCTTAGGAAGTTTAGGATTTCTACTTTAAAAAAGTCTCACTGTGTAGCTCAGGTTGACCTCTTGCTTTGTAGTCCTGTCTGTGATCTTCCCATCTCCTGAGAGCTAGGATTACCAGTGTGTGCCACTATACTTGGCTTAATTTAAACATTTTTTTATTCCCTACTCTAGTCCTTGCACAGATGTAATGAACTTGAATATTGAACGTCTATCTTAATGTTTCATATGAGGTTTTTTTACATATTCATAGCCCCTTTGTTTTTTTCAGAAGGACTAAAAATGTACATTGCCTATTAAAAATATTTTAAGCTTTTATGAGAAAAAAGAACATGTAACAGAAGTAATTCATACTTTTGTAATAGAGGTTGTACTTAAATTATACAAAGGCTTTCTTGGCCTGTTCTTGTGGCTTGTGCCTGTAGTCCTAGCTACTTGGGAAGCTGAAACAGGAGAATCCCTTGAAGCTACAGTCTGCACCAGCCTGGCAAACATGGCAAGACCTCATCATGAAGGGAAAACAGGCTTTCTGATGAACAAGTCGTTTCCTGTGGTTATTACTGCCTGGTTTCACGGACCCCGTCTTAACCTTGTTTGGGGAGAATAGCAGACATCCATGAACATTACCATTTACCGCATACTTTTTTTTTGTTGTAAAAAAATAGCTTGTGTTAATATTGCATTATTTAAATATTTAAACATATTTAAAGTACAATTCCACATGCTCCATCATTTACTCTCGTCTTCTTTTATCTTAGGAATGTATTCTTCAGTACCTGTTGAAGTTCCTCTGAATCACAAACGATCTGTTTGTGACCTTACCCAAGCAGATCGTCTTGCCCTTTATGATTTTGTCATTGAGGAGACAAAGAAGAAGCGCTCTGGTTCTCAAGTCATTGAAAACGACAGTGATCTGTTTGTAGACTTGGCTGCCAAAGTCAATCAAGGTTTAAGATGAATATCATTCTTTACATTTCTTATCATTCTATCTCATGAGTGTTAGTAGAGTGATTTCATTTTTGTGCCACTTGAGCTGGGGTAAGGTGGTTTTGTATCATCTCATTAACATTATCAATAATGATATTGCTTATAAAAGGAGTTTTACTCTGACTTCTACTTTAAATAGTTCCACCTATAAGAATGCTACTTGTGTGTAATCTGTGAACTTGAACAATTCTATGTTTACCTAATGGGTAAAAAAAAGGGGGGGTGATTAAAAAATAGCCTATTTGTGTACATAATGTAGAATATTTTGAAACTTTTTGTGTGTTACCTTGAAACATACTGAACAGAATTATTCCTAACTATATTCCTAACTATAACTTCTTAATTTAAAACTGGGTTATGAGCTTGCAATTCTCTTGCAAAGGACTCAGGTTCTGTTTCTTTTATTAGATAATAGCCGAAAAAGTCCAAAATCTTACCTGGAAATCCTGGCAGAAGTGAGAGATTATAAAAGAAGACGCCAATCCTATAGAGCCAAGAATGTTCATATAACCAAAAAGTCATATACTGAGGTACGTTTCACATAATTTTGTAGTGCTTGTGTGAGAATAAAAATTTCCCAGTTTTCTAAGTCTGTTTTATGCCCTTGGAGGTTTTCCTGAAGTGTCCTGAGAATGCCATACCTGGTTTGTACTTGCCCCGTGTTCTCAGGCCCATCTCTTGGCCAGGCAGAGGCTTTTCTGGGTACTCACATCATCTGTGATGGTTGTGTAACCCTTTAATGACACTTCTTTTTGAGAAAGTGGTTCTGTGCTGTCATGAGAGTATATATACATTTGGGCTTTCACCTGCCCTTGGCTTGAGAGAGGGTGATGAATGAGTCAAGACTGTCCTGGAACTTGATACATAGACCAAGCTGGTCTTGAACTCACAGATCCTCCTGCTTCTACTTCCTGAATGCTGGAATTAAAGGCATGAGCTACCATGGTCCTTTGCTTGAGTTTTGACTCTGCTGTTTGTTGTTGATTTGCATGAGTTATTTGAGCTTTTTTATTTAAAAAGTTTTAGATTTTACTTATTTTTTTATTTTATGTGTATGCCTGCGTACATATATATATATATATATGCGTTATATGTGTTTAGGTACCCATATAGGCCAGGAGAAAGGGTGCTGGGAATTGAGCCTGGGTCCTTTGGAAGAGCAGCCAGTGTTCTTAGCACTCTTTCCAGCCTCCGATGAACTTCTCAGCAGTCTTCCTTCCAGCCTCCTGAGTGCTGGGCTTACATTCATGAAAGCCATGCCTGCTGGGAAATGTCCTGATGTCTACTGTAAATCAGTCTCTGTGATAAATACCTAGACTTAGTTTTAAGTGTCATTTAGTGGGGAAAATTGATGAAATTTTTGATACATAAATTAATCTACCCAGACCCAGTTCCCATATTAAACTCTGATTGTTCTATACGATTTCTTCCCTGATTTCAAAGATTTTACATTCTAGCCTCATTTTGTCAGTATTTTATTTTGCTTTCGTCCAACATGTCTCTGAAGCTTTCTGGTGACATATATTCTTACCACCGTGCCCTGACATATGATGCTGCTTTACATGAAATGCTCTTCTTTTCTGCCATTTTGAGTCTCATGTGGGTGTGAGGGCCACTTATCCACTTCCACAGTGTACTGGCTACTTCTGAGCTGTCACTGGTTCATTGAATAACACTTTGCCACACACCCAACCTTGCACTCCATACAGTGCTTTTTATAATTAGGATGTATTTTAGACTTGCCTATCCCAGGAAAAGCCTGGAATTGTATGGTGCTTATAGGTCCTCAAATACTTGGTTCTTCACTAGGTCCCCTCTGGTCTCATATCTTTGGAATCATGTTAATACTGGTATTCTCTATCAATTTTTTGATTGACCTTTCCTTCCTTTTTTCCTTCCTTCCTTCCTTCCTTTCTTTCTTTCTTTTTTTTTTTTGCTAAATGAATTAAATTATTTAGTTACTTATTAAATTTTTTCATTTATTTTACATACCAATCATAGTTTCCCCTCCTCCATTCAGAAAGAGGCAGACCTCCCATGGGAGTCAACAAAGCATGACATATCAAGATGAGGCAGGACCAAGCTCCTCCCCCTACATCAAGCCTGGGAGAGGCATCCCAGCATGGGGAATAGTTTCCAAAAAGCCAGCTCATACCCGAGGGACAGGTCCAGATCCCACTGCTGGGGCCCCACAAACAGACCAAGCTATACAACTGTCACTCACATGCAGAGGGCCTAGGTTGATCCCATGCAGGCTTTCTAGCTGTGAGTCCAGAGTCTGTGAGCTCCCACTAGCTCAGGATTGACCTTTTCTTATGAAAATACTTAAACATACTCAAGTAAACAGCACAGTATAAGGAGTTTATATTCCCTTAACTATCTACCTCCTGCCTCTACACTTGATAATTTTCCCCTTCTTCTGGCTTTGTTTGCATTTTAACCTCTCCTAGCTTCCATTTCATGCCTTGCATACTTTTTGTTTGCTGTGGACTAGAACCTGAATTTTGACAAGTTTCAGCAAAAAATTACATATTATAGTTAAGCCTAGCACACTGCTGTAGGGTGTGCAAAGGTGATAGCAACAAGATATTTGAGCTTTTAATGCTTGCTGTAAATGAAACATGTTACAGGTTGTGTGAGTGCTGAAGTGTGAGAGGACAATGATTCTTCAAAGGCTGGATTGGTGTGAGGTCTTAGAGGCCATAGCTCTAAGGGAAAAGGGAAATAAGGAAGCTTAAAAACTCCTTCTTTTTCCTGTGTGGCAGACCTGTGCTAGCTCTGACCTGGGTGTCTAAGCTAAGGTTTCTGTTGCTATATAGAGACACCATGACCATGGCAACTCTTATAAAGGAAGACATTTAATTGGGGGTGGCTTACGGTTCAGAGGTTTAGTCCATTATCATCGTGGGAGGAAGCATGGCAGCGTGCAGGCAGATATGGTGCTGGAGAAGCTGCTGAGAGTTCTACATCTGGAGAAGAGAGAGACACTGGGCCTGTCTTGAGCTTCTGGACTCCAAGCCCACCCCCAGTGACATACTTTCTCCAACAAGGCTATACATCTAATAATTGTGTGGGGCCATTTTCATTCAAACCAACACAGTGGGCTTCAGTGAGCTCAAGTAGAGCTATCAAAAAGTAGTCTAATGAGGCTGCTTAAGAGGCACTAGAATTGGAATATGACTGCTGATGTGTGTGGCTCATATAAAAAACCAACGTTGAGTGTCTTGGGGATGGCTGGAGCTTAGGGTTCCATGAAAACTGCCTAGTGTGCTTTCTAAGGCACTGTGTGCTGTCCTGAAATCATGGAGGACTCCCAAGCTTTACTGAGAGTTGACATTGTTCTGTGTTTAGCTTTTGGAACTATTGAAAGTTTCTCTGATGGAGGGAAAAATTGCAGTCAGGTCTGAACTATGGTGGCTTTCTCTTTGTTTTTGAGACAGGGTTTCCTGTGTAGTCCTAGCTGTCCTTGAACTCACAGAGATCTACCTACCTCTTTCTCCCAAGTGCTGGGATTAAAAGCATGTGCTACTACACCTGACTCTGTAGTGTCTTTCTTTGGTAATTGCCCCTATTTCCTATACTGTGAAACATTTCCTTAGCAGGCAGGAGAGAAGTATCAGCTCTGTTTTGTTTTATCTGTCTTCCCTGACTAGTCCTGTGTTTGATAGTATGGAAAAGATAGAAAAGAAACTTTCAAGTGGTTCTCATCAAAGCTTAGGGACTTGACTCTTTGGGAGAGCATCTGTGAAGTAACTCATATTTCACACTCTGTCTGTCTTTCATCTTGGTTTAATTATAAGGTTTAAAAATCATGTGCAGATGTTCTCCTCCAGAAGTTATGGAGCTAGGAACAGCAGTAAGAATTCTGCACAACTTTACATTGTGGGTGTTGTGTCTTGTGTACTCACTGTTTCCATTCACTCCCTTCCTTTTTGTTCCTTTATTCTTTTTTCATTTTTAAAAAATTTACTTGTCACGTGATGAGTTTCATTCTGATGATGTTTTCATGTACATGTAGCATTATTCTTTGCACTTGTTCATAAACTCCTCGTTGTCTTCTGTTGTCCCTACCCCCCTCTGCTGTCCCCTCCCTCACCTCAAGTGGTCCCTCCTTCTGTCTTCATGTCCCATGTATTCCATTACTCTCCTCTTTTTATCCACTTGCCCTTTCTTGACAGTGTTTCACTCCATAGCCCAGGCTATTCTAGAATTCCTTCAGTACTGGGATTATAGGCATAGCTACCCAGCCACCGTTTTTCCTTTCTGTACTTCTTTTACTATTTTGTATCTGTACATTTTTTTCCTTGAATTATTCAAGAGTAAGTTCCATACATCATGATTCTTTATTCCAAAGTAGTATGTATGTGTTTCCAGAGAATAAGGCTATTTTCTTACATAGTCATAACATAGCTCCAACTTCAAATTTAATATTGAAATAATGCTGCCATCTACCATTTATTAACCAGTGTGACCAATGCCTTTTTTATAGTTCCTAAACACATGCATCTCATAGTCCATTATGTCATAGCCCTTAGTAAATTTTTGAGTGACAACAAGCAGAGATTTGTTAAGATCAATCCACATGAGTCTATTTAATGGGTAATAGGGATTTATTAAGATATAAACTGAGAAAATAAACTCATGAACACAGAACCAAGTAAACAGCTGAAGTCATCCTCTGTTATGTCTGGGAGCAAATGCACCTGGCTATCCGATCACGCCAGGAAGAAGGAAACACATAACCCCTCTCCATTTTTTTTTATTTTTTAAGGTCATGTACAAAGGCAAGAAGCACCACCTCTTTCAGGCTATATAGCTCAAGGTCATGGACAGAGCAAATACCACTACAGAGATTTTTCTAAAAGATTTTATTTTTAATTACATGTATGTGTGTGGTTATATGCACATGAGTGCCGGTGCCCAAGGAGACCAGAAGAGGGCATTAGATCCCCAAATCTTCAGTTATAGGTGGTTGGTTGTGAGCCACACCACATGGATGCTGGCAACCAAACTTGGTCTTCTGGAAGAGCAACAGATGCTTTTAACCCTGAGCCATCTCTCCAGCCCCTATTTTCCTGGTTTTATGATCTTAAGTTTTAGAACAACTTCCTTATCTGACATTTGGTTTTTGCTTCTTCCAAGGTAATTCGGGATGTGATAAAGGTGCACATGGAAGAACTCAGTAACCACTGGCAAGAAGAACAGGAAAGAGCAGAAGATGGTGCTGAAAAGTGTGTCATTGTCTTTACTAATGAAACATTCGCTTATTTAATTTTCTGTTTGTATTGAACCCAGGGCCAGGCACTTGCTGCGTAGTGTGCCTTTCATGTGCTATAAATTGTGGGCATGCAGCACTATGTCTGGCTTAAAGTAGTATCTTTTTAAAGAATCATCTATCTGTACTATTAAACCGTAGCATTTCCAAGACTCTTAGTAACATACTGTGATTCACTGGTGCTTGTTTATTGTCAGTGCTCAGAATTACTGTACTTAGAGCTGTGACATTGCCATGCATAGGGATGAGCAACCATATTAGGGAAATAGTTATAAATAAGTTATATTATAGAGGCTGTTTGTTCAGTTGCTACCTTTGTGGAATATAAGATTATACTTGTTTATTTACATGCTAGTTGCCATTGGTATGATACAGAATATTATACATTAGGTCGATGGTCTGTGTGTGCAATGGAGGCCATTGGTGAAAGGAGCTGATGGCTTTTCCTTTCCATGCTGCAGGAATGAAGAAAGGCGATCAGCTTCAGTAGATTCACGACAGTCTGGTGGAAGTTATGTGGATGTGGAAAATTCACGACATAGAAGGGCTCGGAGTAGAAGTCCACACAAACGAAAAAGAAATAAGGACAAAAATTCTGAGTTGAGAAGAAGGAAAGAGAGGTGAGTCTGTCTACCCCTGAGAGCATTGTTATCTTTATCCAGCATTGTTGACTTTGTTGTAGAATGCAGGAAAATAAATTGTAGGAATAAGATAAGATAGGGGAGGAATTAATGGACTCTTTCAGACTCACCATTGCTCAGTTCAGTCTACCCCTGTAGAGTCGTAGTTCCTAGTTCTGTGTGCGTGATAAAACATTGCTTTTCCCCCAACCCCTTTTCTTTGTGGTATTGGAAATTGAACCTAGAGACTGATGAATAGTAGGCCAAGCGCTCCACTACTGAGCTGTAACTTCAGTCCTTTTCTATATTTTTTTAAAGTTTTGAGACACAACCTCACCATGTTACCCAGGCAGGCCTTGAACTTGTGATCTTCTTGCCTCTGCCTGCCACATAGCCTGGATTATAGACTTGCACCACCGGGTGACCATCTTGGTGTTCCCTCTTTTTTTTTTAAATCACTTCTTAACCTGACATATGAAAGTAATATCTGGATAAGGCCGTGGTACAATACCTGCTTAGACCTTTCTTTTGTTCGTATTGTCCTCTCATGTTTCTCATTCTTCATGCTAATTCTCCAGATGAAATATTTTTAGAGTCAGAGACATTCCAATCTATATCAGTCAATTTTACCCTTGGTAGTATAATTTTGATAACTAGAAGATATGAATTAATTTTTAAATAATACATTTTAAATATCTAATCTTGTATGCCAGCTGCTTAGTGGGCATCCTCCTGGGTGTCACATTCACCAGGGCTCTAACTAAACTGTTTCTTAGTCTGTCCTCCTTCCCTAGTATTCCTGTCCAGGTTGGTGGGATAGCCCTCTCAAATTTACTTAAGCCAGAAATCAGGTGGTCATTAATGCTTACCATCTGGTCAGGTCCAAATTCCTGTCCATTCGGCCGTGAGCCTCCTACTGTTCCTGTTGCTGTCTGTCTAGACTAGAGAATAATGGTTGTCTTTTGAGTTGCTGTAGATGTCTCTAAACTTACCCTTTGTGAATCCATTTCTCCTGTGCTGCCCAAGTGAATTCTCTTAAAATGCAGCAGCAGCAAAATTCACATTCCTTTGAATGGTTTTCAGCACTTAGGATCAGTTTCTGCTTGTTTCTTGTACTTTCCATGACCCTGTGGAGTGCAGAATCTGCCCTGGGTAGCCTGACTTGAGTTCTCATCCCTATCTATGCCTGTTTTGTTTTTTTTTTAAAGGCTTGCTTGGCAAACTTATCTTTTCTTGAGCCCTCTTTTACTCAAGCAGAAAGGACAGTCTTACCTAGCACATCATTGTTTGCTGCACTTAGTGGTTCTCCCCCATAGCGTCTTCACCCCTGGAAGGCAGGGTCTGGGTCTTACTTAGTGGTGTTGCTGTTGTTATTGTTTGTTTTTGGTTTTCTGAGACAGGGTCTCACTGTGTAGCTCTGGCTGCCCCAGAACTCACTATGTGGACCAAGCTGGTCTCAAACTCACAGAGATATGCCTGTCTCTGCCTCCCAGGTGCTGAGATTAAAGTTGTACACCACCGTGCCTGGCTCTTTAGTTTGATGTGGATAGTACTATTCAACACTCAGCTTTCACATGATGTGTCTTTCCAGGGCCACTGAAAAGAAGAATTAGTGAACCTTTTTCTAAAAAGTAATTTGCCAGGCTGTGGTGGCTCATGCCTTTAATCCCAGTACTCGGGAGGCAGAGTTAGGTGGATCTCTGAGTTCCACAGACAAACTCTGTCTCAAAAAGAAAAATAATTAAAAAAAAAAAAGTTATTTACATAAATGTATGTGTGCCTGCGTGAGCTTATGTGCACCCAGTGTGTGCAGATGCCTGTGGAGGCCAGAAGAAGGCATTGGGTGTCCTGGAACTGTAGCTGTGAGCACTTGTGAGCTGCCTGGATGATGGGAACTGACCCCTGGTCCTCTGCAAGAGCAGTGAACATTCGAACCATCTCTCTAGCCCTAGTAAAGCTTTTTGTGTTGGCCTGACAGTTGTGCTGATCTTACTGTCGTTCTGTAGGTCTAAAGCTAGCTGTGATTAGTTCTTCTCTTAGGAAGATGAAATGCTTGCTTAGTTACCCCTTCTGACCCCCACAAATGAACTCTTGCCCATCTAGTAGAAACTGTGCTTTGGCTCTTTTTGGAGTTGACATCTCTAATCAGTCCCTGTAAACTTACATTGCAAGTCTTCAGTGTGAATATGAAGTAGCAGAGGGTAAGCACTGAATGAGCAGGAAATACTTCTTCTTAGAGTAAGGCTGATATCTACATTGATTCCTAAGATAGAATGAGTTCTAGAAAGTTGAGATGGCAGCCAGAATAAGGAAGTCAGACAATTTAACATTTTTTTTTTTTCTGTACCTTTAGTATTTTATTTGAAATGGATTCTCTGGTCATCTAACATTAACATATATTTAGTTATTTTAAAGCAGACCTCCAAAATATAATCCTATTTTGCTTGCCATTTTCCTTTCTTTTACTTTTGAGATATCTTCTCCTCCTCCTTCTCACTCCTCCCTCCAAGCTCCTATATACCCCTCTTTGCTCTTCAAATTCATGGCCTCTTTTTTCATTAATTGCTGTTACATGCATATGTGCACGTGCATATACATTCCTAAATATAGCCTGCTTGGTTTGTGTGTTACTTGTCTGTTTTCAGAGCTGACCGTTTGGTCCTGATTGATAACCAGACGATGGCTCTTTCAGAAGACTGTTTCCCCTGCTCTCAGCGTTCTGGAGTTGCCTCTAGTTCTCTGTAGACTTGCAGTCTCCTGGGCTTTTCCCAGGCCACTTTGGCATGTCTGCTGTTGTCCTTGTTCGGGTCTTGTTTAGGTACTTATGTTAGTGAGACTTGGAGTGTAGCTTCTGAGATTCCTTAGAGACACAGTCTCTCCCTGACCTTCTGCCTCTTATGATCTGTCAGCCCCTCTTCTGCAGTGTCCCCTGAAGCTGAGGTGTGGGAGTGTTTTGTAGATGTAGCCATTGGTACCAGGCTCCACAACTCCACGTTTTCATTAGTTGTGGTTTTCTGTAATGGTCTCATGTCTGATGTAAAGAGAAATTTCTGTCATGAGGGGTGAGGATTACATTTAACTGAGGGTATAAGGACAAATATTTTGAGTATAGTTAGGGATTATGGTGGTTTAGTAAAGTGGTGGTTGAAGGTTCTCTTCCATAATCCATGACTTCATTAGCCCTGGATAGTTGGCTAGGTTTCCAGTACCAGGCATGATTTCCCTCTTGTTGAACTTAATTGTCTTAAGTCCAATTAGAGAGCTTTTAGTTACCAAGAAGGTATTTGTGCCACCTTAGGATTATCATGCCATGCTTGGTGTTGCTGTGGTCCATAGCATGTTGGTTACTTCCCTCCTTTGGAAGCTTGCATGGTGCCTTGAAGACTATGAAAGCTAGTCTTCAAGGAGAAGGATTCATTCAGGTCAGTTCTAGCTCCAGGGTCTCTGGGCCCTGTGTCTGAAGTACATGGTGCCTTCAGTAATAGGTCTTTACCTTCCACTTCTGAACATAGTGTCTTCAGGAATAGGAACTTACCTTCTTCCTCTGAGGGGCAACCAAGGACAATAGCAATAACCTATCATGTTTGGGGAGTTTCTTGGGCAATTCTCACCAACAACTCAGAAGAAGGCTTTCCATGCCTGGTGTTGGGGGTTTTGTTAAGTGAGTGGTCTTTGGCTCTTGGAGGGAGCATTGTCTGCCCAGATGATAAAATTTCATATAAATCATATATTTGTAAATAGACTTAGGAGTATTATGGTTTTGTTTTTGTTTTATTAGCTAGTTAGTACTATGATTCCTCATAGCATTTTTCGGACATCATTATTGTTATTTTGCCCTCTTATTTCTTTCTTTTGTATTTATCTCCCTTCCTCTTCCTATTTATAGCCTCCCCATTTTGCTTACCTGTATTTTAATCTTGATCTTAATTTTAGTAATTTGACTTTCCCTTTTTACTCTTAAAGTATTGTTAGCTGGGAGTGGTGATGCATGTTTTTAATCTCAGTGCTCAGGAGGCAGAGGCAGGTAGACTTCTGAGTTCAAGGACAGCCTGGTCTACAGAGTGAGTTCTAGGCTAGCTGGGGATATGTAGTGAGACTGTCTCAAAAAAAGAAAAAAGTATTGTTCAGTTCTAAATGCATGTTTTAACTTATCATAATTTATGTCTGGTAAAAATATATTACTGTTGAATTATTACAAAGCTCTAATATTAAAATGTCTCTCATTTATAATTTTATGCCTATTTATTTCAGGGATGGAGAAAGACACCATAGTCATAAAAGAAGAAAACAAAAAATATAAACAGAATGTGACTGCATTAATTATGCTTATGGAATAAATATGCTGATGTTTTAATTATAATCTTTGCATAGGATAAAATGGCTGTTATGATTGTGTAATACTGATTATTTTAATAAATGCTTCAAGCCATGAATCAAAATTATACCCTACATGTTTATATTTTCCTTAATATTTTAATAGATTCTTATTACTGTTTGTTTCATTGTGTTGGTAATTTATCAGTTTTCTTTTTTTTTACAAATCAGTACTTGAAATAGGTAAATTATCCATGAAAACATTCTCATTGTAAATGAGATTCTACCCTAGCAGTAACTGCTGTTTATCACTACACTGGAGAGTTGTAATAGGGCAAAACAATCTAATTGTCTTTCTGAATGGGGAATGGCCTGGCTAAATGAACTATGGTGTAGTCAGTCATAGGTTAAATTACTGTATTAGCATTAAAAGGAATAGCCTTGATGTGTTCACATGGATAGATCTTTAAAATGTAATGATAAGGGGGAATTGCAAGTGGTAGGTATATTTAAGTTAGCATTAGGTCCATGTGCAAAACAATACTATGTATTTCTTATGGATATATATGTATATGATTATATTTTAAAGGTTTATTAGAAGACATTCCAAATTCCTAATTATATGTGGGGAAAGATATAGAAATAATTGGGAGAGATAACAGGATTGGGAGGTTGGTCAAAGGGAACTTGGGCTTGTCAATAATATCAATAATATATATTTATGTTTCATTTGATAATTAAAAATTACTATAATTTGTATCTTGTTTGATTGAAATACTGTGTGCACACACTAAAATGTGCTTATTTTAAATAATTCCATCAAGTGTGACTGGTGTATATCTGCACATCACCATAGGTGTAGAGTGTTCTGCTGCCTCCAGAAGTTTTGTACCTCCCATATGGTTTCTGTGCCCCTGACATAGAGCAACCAGAGCTCTGGTTTTTGTTACTATTGGTTGGATATCTCTTTCCTACAGCTTTGGCAGTGCAATGCCCCAGTGTGAGCTCTCCCATTGACACAGGAGTGTTTGTGTTTATTTTTGTCTTTGAGCCCAGGTTGGCTCTGAATTTGAATTCCTGTGTCAGTCTTCCAAGTGCTGGGGTTATAGGCTGTGCCACCATGCTTGGTGGCTTCACGTTTTTGGTATTGATCCTGCTGTATATGTTATATAGCACATTCCTTTTTGTTGATGGGTACTGTGTTCTGTTTTATCTAGAACAATCAGTTAGGTCCAGTGCATTAAGTGTTAAGTGTCTCTCACTTAAATTAACAGTAGCCTGGACATTTGAAACTCAGGTGAAGATTGCATTTCCAAACAGAAATGAAAGATTACTTGAGTAAGTAGTTAACAAAGATGGATTGAATTTTGACCAGATTTACTCTTAAGTTCCATGCATGAGAGAGAGGTTCAACTCTCCTTTTGGTTTTTCTAAACGCGCTTTGCTGTGTATCCCACGCTGGCCTTAAACCCAATAACAGTCCTTCCGCCTCAGCCCACCTAGTGCTGGGATTACAGCTGTGCACCACTACACACACTGGTTTTTACAAGTTAGAAATAACCAGTCATTTTCTAATATGACGTTCCATTGGACCAAATTTTTGGAATTTAGGCTTTAAAGCACCTTCTCCCTCCTTAATGGTACTGGCTTTGAACCTAGGGCCTTGTGTGTGCTAAGCATGTGTCCTACTACTGTGGTAGAGCACTCGGCCCTGAAACTCAGAACCTCAAAGCCCAAGGCTGGGGAAATAGCTTAGTCAAGTCTTCGCCATGTTGAATTCCATCCCCAGAACCCATGGTTGGTTTATAATCCCAGCTCCAGGAAAGTATAGATAGGTAGGTCCCTGGGGTTGGCTGGCCTGCCAGCCTAGCTTACGTGGTGAGCTCCATGTTTCCTGAGACAGAAACAAAACAAGGTGGATGCTGCCTGGAGGTGGGCCTCTGGCCTCCACATGCATGCACGTAGATGTGAAGGTCCACCCACACACAGAACACACAAAACCCCAGGGCCTAGGAGTCACAGTACTAACCTCACAGAATTGCTGCTTTTGTAAGTCAGAACCATACAAATTACTAGCAGTTTAACATTGTATGCTCAACTTACAATTTTGTTTTAAATTATGATTTCTACCACTAGGAGAAACTGAAGAGTAAGGCTGGATAGCTTATTTAGATATTTCATAGAACAAATAAATGGAAAGGAGTGGTATGTGGGAAATGGGGACAGATAGGACAGGGTGGAGAAAGGAAAAGAGCTAAGATGTAGGTAAGTTCCTTACAGATTTGTAAGTCTGTAATCAGCTGATGTGGAGTTAGGTAAATCGAGAACACAGGTAACTTGGGCCAGTTTTCATACTGTCTGTGCTGCGGACTGCGGCATGATGACCTCGAGAACAACAAGGCTTCTACGACAGTAGCTCCTGGGCCTGGCACTCAGCAGCTGTCCATTTGTTATTTTAAATCCGACAGAAGCATCTTCAGACCCGAATCTTGCACTTAGTATTGATTTATGAGCTGCTGCTCTTAGTCATTGCTCTAGCTGTCCCCTCCCCCTTTTGTGTGTGCTGTGATCAAACCCAAGGTCTTATTCACACACACACTAGGCAAGTGCTTTACCACCAATCCACATCCCAGCATTTCTGTTTTAAAGACAGTCTCACTATGGAGCCCAGGCTAGCTTCAGATTCATAGTCCTCTCTCTACCTCCAGCTTCTGTGCCTGTTCAGGCCTGACTCTCCCACCAACATTTCCAACCTCTCACATTATTTTTTTCTTCCTGAACTTTGTTAAATGCACTAAGAATAGTTAATGCTTACTATGTACCTAGTGGCCAGTTTCTGAGACTTAAAATACCAATTTGATGGCACATGCTTTTAGTCCCAGCACACAAGATGCTGAGGCAGAAGGATTGCTTGAACACAGGGAAACCCTGACTCCACAGTCGGGTGCTGTACTCTGGGTAACTGGTATTGCATTCTTTTTTAGGTAAGAATGAGGCAAGGTATGGCTTCCAGTCACAGTAAGAATTTCTCTAATAGAATGATAAAAGCAGCTAAGAATTGGTTTATAGGCAGAAGGTGGCAGGCACATCAAGAACCCAATACTCAAGAGGCTGAGGCAAAAGGATTGCTTGAGCCTCAAAGTTTGAGACTGGCCTAGGCAACATAGTGAGATTTAATAAAAATATTAAGTGTATAGGTTTAAAACACCAAGGGTATAACAAGAATTTAAACTATGTTGTGAAGCAAGGAGTTGGGAGAGGAAAATTATTGCCTTAATTAATGTGTTGTTTAATGTTTAAAGGTTTGTAAACAGCTTGTACTCACGTTCCATGATTTGCTTGCATGTCTACAGAAGGTTGGTAGGGGAAATATGCCTAACTCCCATTTTCAAGGACAGACGTCGAGAGACCTGGGAAGAGGTATGCTCATGTATGAAGGAGAACTTGGGGATCAGCCACTGAAGTGTCTCCTGCCTGTACTCCTCACGCGTGTCCCCAAGGTGGCTGTGTACCTGAAGGGCACTCAGTGAGCGGGGCTGATTGAGTTGAAAGAGCCCTTGTTATCCCCTCTCACCCTTCCTTCCCTCACTTCCCAGCAGGGCTTCACTAGGTTCAAGCCGGGCTTGAAGTCATGATTCCTGTCTCCACCCTCTTGAGTAGATGGAGGGCCTGGCTGCAGGCATGTGCCACCACGAGCATGTGTCCACTTGATGAAACATATAAGTCTTAAAATTGTTCCTGGGTAGCAAGGAGAAAGCTTTCAGAACTTCTGAAAGGTCTAGGGCTTGATTGATCGTTAAGGAGCAGCAGTGTGGAGAGATACAGCTTGCAGTGAATCTGCCACAAGAGTTTAAAAGGCGGCTGTCCTCCTTCAACACAACATAACTTGGCTTACCTTATCTAGGAATTTCACTTTCTCAGCTACTTTGTTAGTCAGCAACTTCAAAAGCCGTCTGTGATCCTGCTGGGTCAGTGACAATGGGTCCAGTCCTGTTTCACTCTTTTTTTTTTTTTTTTTTTTTCCTATTTCACTCTTGACTAAAGCCTCAGGGCCAAGCAACCATGGATTGAAAAGCTCTGAACTCATGAACTGAGATGAAGGTTTTGTCCTTGTTTAAGTAATTTTCTCAGGTGTTTTGCCACATTAATGGGAAGCTGGCTAGCAAATAACATACAAACAGGTCCTTTGAAAAAAGGAATCATTTGATAATATATATTTTTCTTTCTAAATATTTATTTAGCAGCTGGAGAGATGGCTCAGTGCTTAAGAGCACTTATTGCTCTTTCCAGAGGACCAGACTTCTGTTCTCAGCACCTACATGTTGGCTTACAACCACCCATAACTCCTGTCCCTGGAGATCTGAATCCCTTTTCTGTCCACCTCCGGCACCAGGCACTATATAGCTCTGGCTGTCGTGGAACTCACAGATCCTCCTGTCTGCATCCCAAGTGCTGGAATTAAAAGTGTATATCACTATGCCCTGCAAAACCCAGCTCTTCATTTAAATGAGGCATGGCCTCACTCTGCAGCCCCTAACTAGCCTAGAATTCACTATGTAGCCTAGGTTGGCCTTGAACTCATGGTGATCTTTATACCTTGGACCTGAAGTGGAGATTATATGCATGTCCCACTATGCTTGGTTGGGAATCATTATACTAAAAGAAATGATAATATTAGCATTATGAATGAACAGGTATCATGTACCACACATGTTTTCTGCATTATTTCTCTCCATCATGACAGTACTCATGGTAGATTATCTAGTTTTATTGCCCCCTGGATTTTGTTTGTGACCTAGTAAGTTTAACCAGTGCCATCAGCATGAACTTGGAAGTGGAACTATCCCATTAGAGCATGGTAGGCTCACCAGTGGCCACACACCTGAAAACAATAACTTCCCCTCCACCAGGTAGGGTCTCGTGAGTCCCTTACTCATCCATGACAGGGTCAGTCTTGTACAGGAAAGTCATTGAGCCTTGAACAGGCTTTTGCCACATGCCAGCTCTTCGGCAGTCTCCTTGATCACATTCCTGCACTTCTTTCCCCCCACTCTGGACATTTACTTTGCTGATTCCTGTGTGTATCATACCCTTGTATCCCTCAGCAGACACTGCTGGTCTTGCTTCTCAACTGTTCCAGACAATATTCTCTGCACCTACCTCTCTTATGCTGCCACACTGTGGAGCATCTGTGCATACTTCTCTCCCATGCCCACTGTGTGCACAGCTCCAGCTTGATCCCTTTTGCTTAGGAACATCTGCCTGTGCTGCCTGTCACAATGCTCTCTACACATGCCTCCTCTCTGGTGACAGTTCTCTCCCCACATGACTCCTCTCTATCCCAATGCTCTCTCCTCATGTCTCTTTCCTGTCACAATGCTCTCTCCACATAACTACTCTCTGTCACAATTCTCTCTCCACATGCCTCCTCCCTGTCATAATTCTCTCTCCACATGCCTCTCCCTGTCACAATGCTCTCTCCACATGCCTCCTCCCTGTCACAATGCTCTCTCCACATACCTACTCTCGGTCACAATGGTCTCTCACATACCTCATGCAACATACAAAATAAATAAATGTTTAAAATTAAAGAGTTAAATACTGGTTGAATGTTTGACCTGGTAGGATACAGAACGTTTTCAACATTGTCCATAGTGGACGATATTTTGATTTTATAATTGTCAATGCTGAGAATGAAGCTTCCCCTAAACATATAGTACAAAATGGCAAAAGTGTTTGGAGCCATCTCAAAAACTGAA